ATTGTTATAGCTGTAAAAAAAACTAGTGAGATTATCCATCCAGCACATGCAACTTAGATACGATGGACTTTTTCTAGACTATTTCTCACAGAGTCAATAAAAGAATGTGCCTTTTGGCGTACCTATGAGTTGGTTTCATTTAAAATTGGAATCAGAGTTTTTTTAGCCGTTCTGTAGGGGTTTAACATATAGAATCCTCTATTTAAAGTATAAAATCAAGACGAAGACCTAAGAACTCAGACCTCTATATTATAATGTTATATATTACCAATAATTGTTCCAAAAAATACAATCGCACTTACCTCCGAAGAGCAGTTCACCAAATCTGCCGCAACAAAGTTGAAATTCCAAACATCCGTTACATCCAAATTGATGGCATGCGGTACGGCAGGCGGTACAAAGTAGAAAGCAGCATAAGAAAGCGTCATCAGTAAAATGAGTAAGGAGAAAATAAATTTACGAAAATGCTAAAAATAAATGATAAAACAAAAACAATAAATTAATTTATAAGCATATAGAACATTATGGCGCACAAAATTACCGAAAAGTAATCGGCGATGTAGCCCACAATAGGTTTCGCTATCACATATATGATCGGCAGCACCGATGTTATATAGCCCATAACATCTGCTGAAACGCCCAATTGCTTGCCATACACCGACAGCTGCGGCAGTATGGGACCCATTGCTGTACATAATACGAGTATATAAAAATATATATGTATAAATAATGAAATTTGCGATAATTTCAAATCGAAACAATTTTATTTTTTACTTACCAGCCATGAAGAAAAAGTAATGCGCCTTTATGGGCAAAAGATGTCTGTTCACTTTGACCATTTTTTAAAAAACTGCTTTCACTTTGTAAACCACAAACTACGTAAATCGTAAGATATCAGTTCATTGCCGTTAAAATTATACAGTTTGATACTCGTAACTCCATGCGTTCGCTTAAGGACGCAAACTCTATTTGCATATCCAGTCGTTAGCGTTGCTAATTAGAAGCTGTTGCTACGTTTCTAAAATTCTAACTTGGATTGTTATCGTTCTCAACACAATGCCGCGTGCACTCGCTTTGAGAGAACACCAAAAAAAATTTAGCAAATTTTCCGTAATCTCATTAATTGAAGTACCTAACTTGCTGATTTATCTGTAAACGTTCCGTCGTTGCGTTGTCTCATTGTTCATAATTAATATTTATCTTCGGCATAGAATCGTCTACGGTGTGGTGTACAGTCGTGTTATTGCCCTCTAATAGTTGTTTATCTAGAACCTAGAATAGAAAAATGCCATATATAAACAAATAAAAGTATCACAATTTAGAGTTTATTCAAGTTTTGAACAATAATTCATGTAAAATTTCTTAAAGATATTTTGTCAAATAAACATGTTTTTCATACAACGACTACAGAGTATACAATGTAAAGCCAAAGTGTTCGAAGCAGAAAGATCGTATTTTACGACATTATTTATCTCTAAAATACATCACGGTGAAGCAAATTAACTTTTGACATTGAACAGATGATACATTCTTACGACAAACGCATCTGTCAAAACTTCAAGAACCCAACTTTATATGCTAATAGCTAACAAATCCACGACCTTCCTTAAAACTTGTTACAGTATGTTTTTCAGTTTGATATGTCACTTGAGTAGTTTCGTCTTTTGAAACCAATTTGAACTAAACCCACTCAAGATAAAAATAATTATGTAATCACCTACGAAACCTGTAATGTTCGCATATCCACTACACAGCTTTACAAAGCAAGCAACATAGGGCGTAAGCAGAGCTAGTTTTATACGTTACTATCTCTACAAGTACTTGTATATGTCTATTAGGTAATCAATCCTTAAGAATGTAAAATTGTAAGGGGCGTATATGTAATAGTAGATCAAGTAGCTTCAGAAAGAATTCCATTCGACTTCGTTCTATCTTTACATCAACACTTTGCTTTAAACTATACTGTTTTTTTTTTCTAATATATATTATTTACATCAGAGTACGGTCCGTTTTGCGTAGTGGTAGGTCACAACTATATATGCATATAAATATTTAATCATTCTCGAAATTGAGTCTGTCTTATTCGCTTCCTTTTTTTGTAGTATTGACCAGTTTCATTCCATTCAACGATCAATATTTTACTGAAAGAAAAAATCGATCACATCCTCGATTAGAAAAAATCAACTGCTGGAGTGAATGTGAACTTCAATTTCATCTCCATAAATTTATCAGTATAATAGTATATGGAAAATGAAACCCGAGATAATCTTCTCGGTGACTATCCATCAAGTAGGCTATGAAATAATCTTCTAGAAAGTTGAGCTACGCTGATGGAAGCTCGTTATTAAGCTTCGATTTTCTTCCGCTCGCACTAATAGTATTAAAGTATGCTATTGAGTAATTTCCTATTTATGTACATGAAATATTTGAGTGAAGCGAAAGGATGCGTAGCGAACGATCTAATATCAAAGCTAACTGTGACTGAGACACTCTAGTTTTGAGAGCTTTTTAAAGTGATAGAAGCAAGTAATAGCAAGAAAACAAGAAGTTTAGCTTTGAGCAGTCAAAATTCGAAGTTAAGTGTGACGAAATAAACAGTGCAGAATTTAAGAATAATAAAGTTGAAAAATCAACATGACTTTAAAATATAAACTAGTTAAACACACTACCAATCGAATTAAAATATCATTTGTTTTCTATTCTAATTATCTGCACCGCACTATTGTATTTTTATAAAGTGATTCATCGAAAATTGAAATTCTACAAAGTATCGAAATTCCCCAACAATTATTTTTTCGATCAATTACGACTGCAGCTACTCGGAACTGCAATTAACGCTTTGCTTCGCATGCTGATGAGAAAACGCTGAACAAACTCTACTTTAATGTACCTACATATGTATGTGTACTTATACACATTTCGATATAATATAGACTCGTACATTATGTCAAATTGGTTTGGTGCGTAGCGGCATGCGCGACTAGTGACGTCACTGCAACACCGGTAGCCAATGCTAAAAGCCAGTAAACGAAGCGAATTTCAGTACGACTCGTTTACGTGGGATTACCTCCTGCTTGTGAGGGAACTCCCCAGAAGTTTTAGCCGAAATTACACAAGAGTAATATAGATAGGTGCCTATTATGTTGTTGTACTTTAAATGACCATAAAAATCGTGCTTGTGAAATATTTGATGCTAAGCGTTAAAAATATTCCGAGAAATTCAGTAAAAGATCATTTAATAACGAGGCTTTGGAGTTTGTAAATACTTATGTTTGTAAAGGTTCTGTAATAATATAGAGGGTAATTCTTCAATAAAATCAAAAAATCAAAACGCGTTACCTTTGACAAATATAATACAAATAAAGGGTATTTTATTTTTAAGTTAAAAGTTATCAAAATGCCATGAACAGCAGATTCTGCTGAAACCTTTTAGTCTTAAGACAATTTATATTGACATTTGAAACGAAAAAGTTCTAAATCTTTTGTTAGTTTCAAGCAATTAGAGATCAAATATGGAAACCACACTAAATAGTAACTATTTCTGGATGTTAGAGCGCCTCTAAAATATTGTTCACGCTCCTTATACAGCAATTATATTTATTTATGTATACATTAAACCAGAAATATGTCACTGAAGATGTCTTAACAGTTAAAATGTAAATGTAAAATTTCACTTAGTTTTGATATAATACCGTTCTGGTCTACGTTTTTAAGTTCACTAAATTTAAATTATTCAAAACAAGAATATAAAATTTACGTGCTTACACCTCGATAATAGATGATTACTAAGAAACTATATAATTACCCAAAAGAACACACTTTACATATAATGAATAAATGACTATGAATGTGAGATTTTCGGTTTCGAAAACTCGAAGAATTCAAAGATTGACAATAGAAAAATTGATTACTTGAGATAAGTAATATAGTAAAGCGAAGAAAATAGCAATACGTAACTGAACGAAGTATGA